GAGTTGTGCTTGGAAGTCGGTTGGAACGTGTTCCCGTGCGAATCTCTTGTATTTATAGTATTTGTAATCTAGAATTAGTATGGAGAAAAACCAGTTTTTGGGATTTCGGGTCGGATAGGTTGAGCGATGGAAAATCTTCTGATGCTATTGGATAGAGGTCGTCGTATTGTGCTTGGAAACACGGCTGGAACATGTTCCTGAGGGAATCCCTGATGCTTTTACTCGTAAGTTTTTCTAACTTCACCTGCGTACTATTATAATTGGTAGTCGTCCAGTCAGCAGCTTTCTCTGCTCAAATCAACTTCGAGTAACAGTGTAGTTTCTATTTTAAGTTCAACGGTATTGTGATGTTTTTTTTGAAGAAAATGAAACAAAAATCTTTGATGTCCATCTTAAATTAAATGAAATCTGATTTATAGAAATAAGCAAAATTAATCAGTTGTTCAAGAAATGCAGTAACATGTGAGCAACGAAGGAAGAAGAAAAGATCTATCGCTTTTCTCAGATATCAAAAATTTAAATATAAGCTACTTTTGGTATATTGTGAGAAGCAGTGGTCTTAGTATTATCAGAGAGTAGAAATATTAAGCACTATAAAGAATGATATAATAACCTACGAAAGTGTTTGATTTCTGATTTATTTTTTTAATAATTTTGCTATCTTGGAATAGCGAGGCAAACACAAAATGGTGTAATTATTAAAGGGAAGAAGTTAAAAGCCAAATATATTTGCAAAGCACGGCACGCACGAAGTACATCGAAAATAGTACTTTTTTACTTGAATATCGTTGGGAATATTCACATATGCTTAGGCATAGCTCTTTAAATATAACCTTCGCGCAACGAAAGTAAAAAACAATACTAAGAATGATTATCGTTCTACCATTTCTTGCTGCTTTGGTTTCTCTGAGATTCATAACGGCTGAAGAAAGCTGCGTTATTGGATACCGCTGTATTGATGGTTCCATGATCGATGTTGGGTGTCATCCACTAATAGGTTATTCATCTGTGAGTCAAAACGGGTATTCAACATGTATTCCAGATCGGAGAGGCAAGAATGTGTTTGGTAATGATGATCGAGTTCAAGTCACTTCAACAGATTATCCGTGGAGTGCAATTGGATACTTAAATACCGGATGTACTGGAACATTGGTAGGACGAGATCTAGTATTAACCGCTGCACATTGTGTGATCAATCCAAACACCCAGCAGCTCAACAACATAAATACTTTCTATCCGAACAGAATCAATGGAAATGCAGCTGACTCATCTCCAATCACTTATGTATGGTGGGGTACAACGAATCCAGATACTTATCGTGAAAGTGATTGGGCCATATTACGTTTGTCCAAACCGCTTGGTGATCGTTACGGTTATTTAGGATTCAAGACACTGGACGACAGTTCAATGTTAGCTTCAGACGGAACATTGGTTGGCTATTCGACAAATTTTCAAAATGCTCAGACAGCAGGAGCACATATCGGATGCCGTTTAACGAAAAAACAGAGTGCTAATTTCTATTTACACAACTGCGATATGGGTCGTGGAGCCAGTGGTGGTTCGATTTTTGCGTGGTCCGATAACACACCGTATATCTATGCATTGAATGTCGCCGAGTATAGAAACGATGGTTCTGTCAGTTTGTGGTTGGAAGATTATGTAGACAAGAATGCTAACATTGCCATATGGTCATTGCAACTGGCCAACAAAATTATTGAACTCAGAAATGCGTAGAAGTTTTATGTAAGAGTTTGGAATATCCAAAAGAAAAAAGAATTTTGACGAAACAAGACAAGAAAAAAAACTATCTATTTATGTCTGACTGATTCATCCAACGGATGCATACATAATTGAAAACAAGTTCTAAACCCTAGCCCACAGGCTAAGTTTTATGCTATATCAGTATGAGTCTCGAGGACGATCTTCTTTCACATCTACAATACACGTTAACATCCACACTCCCACTTCACACCATACCACCCAGGATATTCAGATACTCCAATACAAATTCACGTGTTTATGTTTCTGACATGATCAGTGAGAGAGATACCGTATACATGCATTTCAGTAGTACTCTCAGTGATGATGTTTGTACATATATAATTATTCGATATCTTTTCAAATGTTTGATGCTGAGCGTTGCCCTAGGAAATTTGGTAGGATAGCCATTCACAAGCTTTCAAGAGTTCAGCTGATAAAGTGTTTGAAAGTGCAGGAAACTTTAGAATGGCGGTGAAAAAGTCTTCTCTTTTACCCAACAACCATTTTTACATTCAAGACATTGCCATTAGAAAATTGCTTTTGGTTTTGAATTATTAGTAAATAATCATGAGTAAAAAATGATGAATGACGAAGATTGAGTATGGAATTTGGATTGATCTGATTGATTACTGATTCATATAAAGAATTTTGTCTCAAATGAGCCAGATAAATGTTCACAATTTGATGATCGAAAAAAGACGAGTGCTATTTGAATCGAATGTGGAAATCAGCTTTTATTCGATGTATCGAATTCAAAAAATTTAATTATAAATCTATGAGAAATCAGAAAAAAGACCGATCGAATATATACTAACATTCGACGAATAGAAAAGCAGCATCTTATGACAGTTGGCTAAGTAGCGTATCGCTTGAATATTTGATGAAAATAATCATTTGAACGAATATAAAAGATAACCAATGGATCGTTTCTCAAATGGCATATATAACTTCAATCGGTACTTACAATATTCGATTCTTCGGCAAAGAAAGATAGTCAAACTAAGTTGACATAAACAAAATACACGAAATTTTTCAGAATTGCAACTGAAATTAAAACACAAGTGATATTCACGTTCAATATTCACCAACTAAAAAACTGTTGCCATCAATAGAACTTGGACATATTTAACCGGCTAGTAACAAATCATTTCAATGACCTTACGATCATGATAAATCAAGCTGACTACCGAGATTTAACGAAGTTTTAACAACTGATGACAACAAATTACTTGGAATGTACAATTGTCGTTCATCTTTAACTCACCAACTCGTTCCCGATCATGTAGCATAACTTATTTGTATTCATTGATAGAGGTATACGCACACTTGCCCGCAGGACACTTACCCGCCGGACAGATGCCCGCGGGACAGTTGCCCGTAGGACACTTGCCCGCGGAGGACACATGCCCGCAGCGGACACTTGCCCGTGGGACAGTTGCCTGCATGATACTTACCCGCAAAATAAATTCGCACTACTATTCTTCGAAACAAAGGGGACTAATTTTGATTGCTTTCAAAATCTTATTCATTTTATCAACTCACTTATATATACATCTTATAAGTAGTAGAATGTAGAAATGGAAACCTACAACAATATGGGTCATTAACAAACGAACTATCAAGTTCAAGAAAAATAAGTTTGACCGATTTGACCAGGATGTTAATGGCTAGTGCTACTATTTTTCCAAATTTGTTTTCGACTATTTATTCAAAATGTTCAAAACTATTATTTGTTGGTGTTGTTTCACCAAATATTTTCGTCGTCTAATCCCGGCTCAGGTTTGGATTAATTCGACTTCGATCATCGATTGGTCTTTTTTCACCGGAATTCCAAATGTTCGGATGTGCACAACCTAACCCTAAAACCAAGCTATGTAAAACGAGCGAGGAAAACGATATCGAATAGAAAGAAAATGGTTTGTCGAAAGAAATGGAAGAAAGGAATACGAACAGACACAAACACAAGCATGAGGTTTAAGCATTGATAGATCCTTGAGAAGTCATACGATTGTTGGAGGATAGTTTGATATCACTAGTTCACATAACTCCATTGATAAGATGCAGTAATTTTTTAATAATGTAATAAGTTTATAGTTCCTAAATCGTCACCAAGCAAGTATCCTGGTGCATTGTGGACAAGTGTCCCCACATAGGCAACTGCCTGGTGGGCAAGTGTCCACTGCGGGCATATGTCCTCCGCGGGCCAGTGTCCTACGGGCAAGTGTCATCTGCGGGCAAGTGTCCTACGGGCAAGTGTCCTGCTGGCATCTGTCCGGCGGGCAAATGTTCTGCGGGCACGTGTCCTAGATTCATTGATAGAAATAGCTTAAATAAAAAGGCAATTTCATGACTAATAATGATCATGTCTTACTTGTCTCACTTTCGACAGCCCATTGGTTTTATCAAATAACATCACAATAGAAACAAAAAAAAGAGATTTCTATTATATCATTTACGACGATTATCTCGAAAATGAATTTTTCACTGTCCGTAATTGTTATCCAGGCCAACAAATCGATTATTTTGTGTTGATAATTCAAATCGCTTTGTCATTCATTATGTGTTAACTAATTGCTTCATAGAACATGGCAATTGAGACTCTCTCTTGACTTTAAAATCAAGACACGAATCACACACAAAACACAAACAAGTTTTTTCTTTCCGTCATTAGAAATATTTTATATTGATGTATGTTGAACAAGGATGATAAAAAGAATCTCATCCGTATTTGCTCGTTCGATCTGAAGTTTCATAGTATCAGTTTTGTCTCTCAACTAATATTATTTATTTAAACGAAATTTATAATATTTTACTCTTATGAAAAATATTAAATGCTAAAAACAATATTAATTTTACAATAAACAAAGCTTTTAAAGTGGTTTTTTTTCTACATGTGAATTTACAATCAGTTTCTTAATATGTTTTTTTTTGTTGTTCAATAATTGTCTTCGATTTTCTGATCTTTCCAATTCTCGTTGATATTTCATGTACTGAGCACTGTTTTTGACACTAGTTTGCAGTTCACTCCGCATTACTAAACTCTGGTCTTGTAAATACTTGATGAACATTGTTATAAATTCATAAGCTTTATTATAATTACGTGATTCAATCACTAAATCAGCTAGTTTTTCTTGTAATTGACTATGTTTTATATCTTCAAGTTCTTGAATATTCGTATCACTAATTTCACGATAGATTGCTAGTGCTACTTTCAAATGTTTATGAGCTCTTGCATTTTGTCATATAGCTAAATATTTATCAGCTAGTTCAATATAACTTTGTGCTAAATCATATTGACTAACAGTTCTCATATTTTCATAAAACAATTCGACGTATATATAGTGCTTGTCAATAAATTTATGTTTAATTAATTCATATTTTATCATTGATGAATAATCACAATTTTTATGTTCAATATAAATTTCTAACATTTCGTTAATCATATTACAAATAGTCAGATAGAATTCATATTCAAATGATTGTTCAAGAAAAATATTCAAAGTATTTTCATAGTTAACTAAACTTTCATCATAATCTTGTTGAGTTTTTTTTAGATTAGCTGATTGTTTTAATATATGTGCAAGTTGTACACTGTCATCGGCATAGTATTGTAACATATTTGCAATACACAATGCTTCATATCTTCCCAAAGTTGAAGTACAGCTGGAGTACGGGTGGAGTACAGTGGAATCTAGCTGAAGTCTAGTGAGTACGTACTCCTCGTACTTCAGATAGACTCCACTGTACTTCAACTGTACTCCATCTGTACTTCACCTGTACTCCGGAGTACGAGAGTCTCGCTTTTTCCCCCTTGCGTAAAGAACATTGCTTTAATGAACACATTTAGTTCATTTTCTAAGAGCGATTTCTATTCTGTAGTAAACACAAATGTCAGCATAGAAAAAAAGATTTCTTTTGATCCGTTAAAAATAGTTGAAGATAGTAGTTGTATAGAACGTTTCTTCTATTGCCCCGTAGTATTCGATACACGAAACTGATTAATCATATTATGAAAATGATATTGATGATATATGACCCAGTCAAAAGAATAATGGAAAAATGATCATTAAAATGCATTATTTTCCGTAGCTAGACCATTTTAACCATTAAAATGCATTTTTAAAGGTGAATAATGCTAAAATGTTCATTAAAATGCATATCAAGTCATTATTAAATTATTTTGACCATTTTATGATCACAAAGTCTATTTTTTCGAAATTTTCAGCTAATAGAAATATGTTTATATTTTCTAAAAATTATATAATTTTTTGGACTTTCCTTATCAACCGTTTAAATTCTCCATAACATTCAAGAATGTAGTTCGGAACTCACACTAAAAGTCAAGAGGAATTTCCGATCCTTATGAAGTCAAACATAGAAGTAGTTAGAAATAGTTAGTTTTTTCATGGTTTTTAATAATGAATTGAAAAGCGTCGAATTAGGAAAAATTGTACTCTTCATAATACCACTGAATTTAAAATTTTTTTGTTGGAGATCGAATGCTCGTAGTTAAAAATAGCATCCGCTTTTTCTAAAGACCGGGGATCTTATTATTGTTCATCAAATGCACGGTACATCATAGGCAACTGGCCTAGCACTGTTTTTTCGGGCTCGTAAAGAACGAAAACGCTTCTAAAGCAATGAGGTAAACGAAGTCATCAAAGGTATAGTATAAAAGATTAAGAATTTACGTTTTCTCTATATTTGAATAAAATCAGAATTTCGATCATATTCTAAAACCGCACGCAAATAAAATTAGACTTCTAATTTGAATGAAGCTGATTTGTTAGTTTGAAAACAAAATTGTAATTCATCGGTACGTAACACATTACAAGGGATAAAGCTAAAAGTTATTGCTTCCGATTCAAATCAAGTTACGATTACCATTATTCTATTTGAATTTATTTATTAAGTTAAAATAGTCAGAAAAATCAGAATAGGCATAGTTAATTTTTATTTGACCACACCTTTGTGACGAAACAATATATTCAATCCATGACGAATTAGTCTGAAAATTTATAAATATTTATACAAAATTCGTTTTCTCTAATGATACTTTGTTACTGAAGTATTCTCAATTTTTTACATGAATACTCTGGATAATAATAAACACTTGAGAACATCTATGGAAACCTGTTGACATGATTGACGTTTACCTCATTGTTTTACTAAAAGAGTTTATCTGACTCTGGATCCTTCTAAAAATATATTTCTATATTAATAGCTTTATTTCTATATCAATAACTTAGATAATTGCTTTACATTGTGACGTTATTTCTCAAAATAGTATAGCACAGCTTTATACAGTATTAATTGATACAATCAGCTATGACTAACGTAAAGTGTTCTCTTCTTCTATGCTGCTTTCTTTTAAAATAGGAAGGTTATTTCTTGTCTATCATAGTTGTGTTCACTTTCCCCTATTTGCAGAAATATCTATGCTCAAATTAATATACAAAAAAGATAGATCTTCAAAAACCTACATGAAAATGTAAAAACAACAAAGATAAACATGTGTTGCCAATTTTTCCATACTTATTTAAGCGTACCAAGTATTTAATTGGACATGTTTAATATTTTTTGTATCAGACTAATTTTACTCCTTTAATATTTACATTTGTGTTTCGAAGGAGGGAACAGTAGTATAGATTAACAGCGGTTTTACATGTATGTGTTGACTTTTGTACATCCATCTACGTAAAATGATCAACTGACCTAAAATGTCTATGCTTACTTATAGTTTTTCATAAAGAAATGTATTATCAGTTGTTAGATTAACATTTCAACTTAACTGTAGGATTTTTCATTAAGTTGTTCTTAACCTCCATATCACAATTTCTTCAAAACACTGGTTTAAGAGCAAAGTATATTCCATTGATGAATGAATAATCGGGAGTCTTAGTCTTTTATATTTTGTTTCATGAATGAAGCACAGCATTCATAGTTTTTATTCCGAACAAATTTTCATTTTGAGATAATTGCATTTTTATCATCATCTTCATATATGCAATTATTAATATATCTGTTTACATTTATACTTCTGCGATCACTAAGGCCTTGTCTCCACTAGAAAATTTAATACCGAATTAAGAAACTTGATTCGTGGAAAATTTAATTCGCATTTAAAGCACTTTCAAAAGCGCATTAAATTTAATGCGCTTTCGAAAGGGAATTAAAGTTAATGCACCAATCAAAGTCTCATTAGGTTCATGTGCTCCAATTGAATTAATGAAAGCGACATTTTGTTCTAGATTCTGATTGATACATTAACTTTCCAAGTGTAGACACGCATGATTTTAATACGAAGTTAATACCGTATTATTTTTCTAGTGGAGACAAGGCCTTAGGCCCCGAACAGACCGACTAATTCAAAGTGAATTAAAACGGAATTAAGAGATATGATTGGTGTTGCTAAGTAGAAACACCAATCATATCTCTTAATTCCGTTTTAATTCACTTTGAATTAGTCAATCTGTTTGGGGCCTTAGGCCCCGAACAGACTGAACACGATAAAACTGAATTAACCAATAGAATGGCTAGAAACGTTAAAACAGAGATAAATCATCTTTTTGAGACGATTTAACTTAATTCAACTCTTAATGCGCCAATCACTTAATAGCCTGATTGAACAATGGAAGATATACATGGATAGATAGATGAATAAATGTGATGTCGCTCGAAAAAATTAATTATTATAAAATAATAGTATACTAGTTTTGTTGGATATTCTACAGATTGTGAGTTTCCAAACCGTTCTCGATCTAACATATAAAAATAATTTTTTTAGAACTCGAAAGTGCACCGTATACATTTTTTTTCACTACATTATAGAGGCTATGCTCAATTTTGATTAGTGGATTAACTGTTGTGTGTGGACGGCGATTGACTTAAAACAAATTTAATGCATAACAATATTCAGTCTGTTTGGGGCCTTAGGCTATGTTCACACTAGAGAAGTGATTTAAATTAATTTCGTTTCAAGACAACAGTCGTCCACACTAAGCACTTAAATCACCAATGAAAGTGCAGAGAATACCTCTTTCATGTCGGCAAAATGTATAATATGAAAATATAATGCATTTAAAGATGTCGTTCTCGTATGTGCACGATTTTTAGTAGGATTATTAAATACGTTTTCAGAATTATAAAGTTAATTGAAAGAATTTCTACCAGCAATCAGTCTGATCATTTTCAAGAGTAACAATCATATCCTAAAGATCCGTAGTTGCACAAGCCTTTTTCAAAAACATTGCAAACAAAAAGCAGTCATTCAGCATAAATATTTCATCAATTATTTATTTTCAATAAGTAGAAAAGAAGAGATTCTTTAAGAACTTTTATAAAAAAAAATAATAATAATAATTTATGACAATAAAGAGAACAGTGTTTTATGGCGAAAATCATTAATAATTGTCCAAATAGAGAAAAACTTTTTACTTTTTTTATAACAAAAAAAAAATAACCATACAAAATAAATAAAAAAATATTTTTCAATTCAACAACCGTTGATAACCGTTGAATATTCATAAACACAATTTGTATAACAAAAAACAACAATAATATGATACCTGTCTACAATGAAAAAATAGGAAAACCATTTATTATGTATGTATGCCACGATGAAAAAAATGGAAAGAACGGACAAACGGGAGTCGCCACAAGTATTTTTTTCTATTGACGAAACGAAATGTCATTCCATTGGTGCATTAAAGTTAAATCGTCTAAAAAAGATGATTTAACTCTGATTTAACTTTTCTGACAATTCTATTGGTTAAATCAGTTTTAACTTCTCTAGTGTGAACATAGCCTTAAACAATATTTTTTCTTTTCTGTCTTAATATTCTGTTTTCTCTATGTCTAAATTATCTGATTGGTTTATTTCTATTGGTCAATGATCGTTTTTGTCTTGGAACAAAGAAAAGAACACTGATAGAAAAGGAAAGAAGAACCTAAATTCGATTCATTCGAAACATGAATGGTCTCGTTGTAGCATGCTAGTCGTCTCTTTATATAATACCCTCAAAACATTTTACACTATAAACGAAATAATAGTAATAAAAAGAACGATCCTCTGATTTCGAGCAATCTACATGTTTGAGAATTTTTCATTCAAATAAATTATTTGTGTAATTTACCAGTACGGTCTACTTCTCTCATATGTGTCTGACTTAAATGAGCATGACACCAGGTTTTTTCAATTTATTCGAAACCATATTGAGTATTAGATATTGTAATTAAATTTTGAGTTGACGTCTAATAATATCTAACACCCCGGAGACGTCAATGATAAATTATAGCAGTTTGCTACAAAACAAAGATCTGTTTCATATCCTGTTTTGAATAAAACAGGAAGACATGTTTTAAGTCTATTTGAATAAAATTCTGCCTGTTGACGAGTAACGTACATGAGCGGTTGATATAAGTGAAAAAGTATACGAATAGTCATTATACAGATGATTATACTGAGTAAAATATGTACGATATCTCTTGTACGAAGAAGAGAATAAATGAAAAGACGAGTTGAATATTTAGAAAACTTCGTACATAGATTAATCATTCGTTCGCTGATGAAATATTTCATGAGATATTTCTCCTTTTTTAGACGACTACTGTAGTCAATTACTGACATTTCGATATACATTAAGTATCTTCACGTTCATATATGTAATATAAACATTAGATCTAACTGACAATGTTGTTTCAATTAAATTGAAAAAACCTGCACGCGTCGTTTATTTAGATGAGAATATACTATTCTTTATGATTTAAAGTATTTCATAGAATTTTCACCTTCTCGATCCAACACAATCGCATAACTTCTTGCACCATATTCTAGTTTCTTAATTCCAAAATAGAGTCTTTATAGTTTCGTTTAAAACATTTCTTTATCTATGTACAGAGTGTCCCAAAAGTCACTTTACGCTTAATATTGTATTTAACATATACCTTCAATATGAAGATCTTAAATCTTACTCATATATATACTTGTACTCAGGAGTAAGATACATATAACCACTAATATTCTTGCTTTCGACAGCAATAATTTCTTGAATAAAAATACAAATATATCTTATTTACTTCTGTATGATTGTAACAAAATTAAGTTGTTATGCTGATTCACTAAACTTTCTAGTTGAGAACTGTTAGGATACAATGAGGTCATTTCCAACGAAGCTTCTCAGTATTAAAGCAGAATATCAGGCGCGTTCTTATGCAATATCTTGTCTCGTTCTCTCGGACTACATAGTATCCTAACAGTTCTCAACTAGAAAGTTTAGTGAATCAGCATAACCACTAAATTTTGTTACAATCATACACAAGTACATAAGATATATTTGTATTTTTATTCAAGAAATTATTGCTGTCGAAGCAAGAATATTAGTGGTTATATGTATCTTACTCCTGAGTACAAGCATATATATGAATAAGATTTACGATCTTCATATTGAAGATATATGTTAAATACAATATTAAGTGTAAAGTGACTTTTGGGACATTCTATAATGGTTAAAATGGTTTAACTTCTATACATTATTTTTTGCAAACGTTGAGCCATTTTATCTTCATTAAATTAATCATTTTAATGCATTATCAAGAAAGCATTTCACAGGGTTGCTTGTGACAGTTTTTTGCCATTTTAATGATGTAAATTTTCGATCATTTTAATGCCATTTTGCCGTTGCAAATTTTGGCTGGGGAGTGTGAGTACCATAGAAAGAAAAAGTCGGAGATACTGAGTTGCCATCAAAATAAATATTTAACAACATCAATATAAAATTATTGTTAATTGATTTATTAGTTCGTTTATCAAGTTTTATTTCCTCTCATTATCATTGATAACAAACTTTCATCTGTTTTCTAATCGGATGTCGATTTTGATTCTACTACAGAATATACACATCCTTTCATACACGAATACACAATATTCTATTTCGATCCAACAAAATTTCTATATTTTATCTCTATAGCATTGTTTATCAAAAACAAAAAGACATTAAATTTTATGTGCTGGAATGTTTTTATTAATTTGACAAATTGCACAGAAAGAAAAAAAAAGACAAGAAAACAGTAGCAAAGCAAAGTTTGTCAAGCTGCTTGAAATATCTGTTTATTTCATTAGTCAAAACTATGGTTTAATTAATAATGTTATAATAGTACCAATAAAGTTAAGAATAATTGCAACAATTCCTATAGCTGCTGCAGCACCTAAATCTAATTTAATTAAACCTCCTATATTAACGGTAGCATCGATACCAACTGCAACACCGATAATTCCCATGATCAGACAAGCAACAACAAGACCTTTGGTTACTAAGAGTAACATTGCGAATGTACTGTCACGTTTCATTGTATATATGATAAGACATATTATAGAAATACCAGATAGAATACAAGCTAGAGTAACAAAAGCTCTAGCAGCTATAATTTTACGACATGTACTACTTTCTTCATTTGTCAACGAGCATTCTAAATCAAAACATGTCTTTATATCGGAATCGCTAATACAGCGACGCCAAAGATCAATTGTGAATTCTTCAGATTCAGAACTTGCTTTACCCCTAAAAGATAAAAAAACAAGATTTAATAAGACTTTTGTTTTTTTGTCTCATTGGTTATTTTCTAAAAATTTTTAATTATGAAACAATTTTGTATTTTTGTTGATTAAATATTATTAATTTCTACAAAATAAACAGAATAAAATTTTTAAATTACCAGGATGGAACTGCATTGCTAACAGTATAAAATATAAAACATATGCCTAAAAGAGCTCCAGCAGTGATAGATAATAATCGAGTATTCATTACCATATCGTCACAATGTTAGATGTAAAATATTCGTAGTATTTTTTTTTATCTTAATGAGAATGTGATAGTATTATACTATGCACGAAACGATTTATATAGAGTTCAAAATGTCCGTCTATACGGTAATTGTTGATAAATAGTAATTTGCTAAAGTAAATAGCGACTCATAAAAAATTTGAGTTTATCAAGTGTGCTTTTTTTCTGTATGTATTTTTGCAAGTAGTTCATCTAAACTTTTACAAATCATTGTGTATTAATCATTTATAACTCTATATCAATTTCTGTCGATAACAAATGAGCTGATAAGCATGAAAACACTATTGTAACGAAATACATTATTCATCAATCGTTATGCAGGGTCTTTTTTGTTGCACACAAAAATCAAGTGACATACTGCATAATATATGTAAAAGATAAATACTATTTGGTGATAGAATCTATTTAATTGAATCATTCAAAAGAGAATATTCTCGTTGGAATACTTCTTAGAGACGATTTTCAAAAGCATGTTATTTTTTTTTTCAAATTTGATTCAATATTGAGAGTTAGTGTTTAATTGATATGTGTAAATTTAAGTTTAATATTTTTATGTATTTGATTAAGAAGAGATTTGATTGAAAGATTAAATAGATTTAAAACTAATTTCTTTTGAATGAAAGCAATAATTAGATATATATATATATACTATTATTATATCTATGAATATCGATTAATTTACATTAATTTCACTTCATATAAATAATCAAAAATTTTTCAATCGTTAATTATTTCGAATTTATTGAGTCTTTTTTTTTATAGAGGAAAAAAGAAAACCTTGAGTTATATGAGTTCTTAAGAAATCAAAACGATTTCTCTGATTATTCAATATCAAATATTACTGGTTAGTTTCCTCGAATGTAAATATAAGTGTGGTAAATATTGATCATGAGATTCGCTATACACAGTAAAGATTTTTATCCTGTATGTCTTATACTATTCAAACTCTAGTGCACAAAGAATAAAAGTGTAATATGAAAGTGTGTCTATTAACAAAGAAAACAAAAATGAAATTGGTCCAGTCTGATACTTTTTGTTTTTGGTTCTTATCATAGTATTCATCATTCATTTTTTTTAAATAGATGTGATTATTTTAACTATTATCGAAGTTTTCATTCTTTGATTTTTAAATATAGATATCGTTTATTTTCAATAACTCTTATGAATTTCATATTGTTTATTGTACATTAAGAATCGTCCTTTACGTTATTTAAAATAAAAACAAGATCGATATTAATTAAGTATCAATTTATCAAACAAGTGCTTTCAGAAAAAAAATACTAACTCAGTAATCTAAATTACTTCTATTTTAACATGTTTTAAGAATTAAATATCTACATTATGTATAATAAATCTATGTCCTACATTGATTATGATAAAATTACTAAAAGTTTATTCTATGATCGAGTACTAGAAACTTAACAATGCTCAATATATTCTGTATCAATTAAATATGCATTTTTACCTGTATGATCTATCAATTTATTATTTAACAAATATTCGAGTTGATTTCAAGCAATAAAATATATCGATTTTATATTTAACATAAACATGCGTAAACAAGAAAAATCTTGATTTCATTTTTTTTTCAATGTTTACATAATCGACAATGGAATCTAAACTGATCTCAATTACATAGTTGTATTTTTTTATGAGATTTATTTTTGAATTAGTTCTAAGAAGAATGAGATAAAAAAAATATCATTTTCAATATTTTCCAATATAAAATCATGTTTTCAAAAAATTTTTCTTGAATGAAAATTTAGTTTGAAGAAACAAAAAAAAGCAATCTAAGTGATGTTGTCCTTGAGTATTCTCTTATATTTATTTTACTTTCTTTACTTTTAACCTTATCATTCAATAAAAAATGTCTTTATTTTCAGCTTGATACAAAAAAAAACTAGAAGTAAATAATTTTCTATTAAAATATTGCCGTAATGATAATTTAGTTTGATGGTATAAGCTGCTTCGAAATGTTTCCATACGAAACCTATTTTGATTGATGTAGCGCTTGTATGTGATGATAAAAAGTACTAAGACAATGCGTCGCACAGGAAAAAAGGTACCAATTCTTCTGATGCTTTGTAAAATATTCTGTCGATACATATGATAATAAAATCATTTTATTCTTTGTCAACAGTTACTTTAAGGAAAAAAGATGTTTCTCGTTGATTGTAAATTCATGGTATAATCAATTTCTGTCTACATTATATATATATAGAGCTTTGGGGAATGTTAAAATATTCTGTCCAATTGACGGTTTGTTCGACAATGAAAAGTTCAATTACAGAATGATTCATAATTCTAAAGATATATTCAATTGGCTATGATTTGTTGTTTTCCTAAATTATTATTGCTGAAGTTAATTATGATAATTAACTCGATATTATTATTGCTAATAATAGTATTTTTGTAGAATATGATAACTGGATACTTGAAAATTAAAATGTTTATTCAATTATATCTGATTCAAATTCACATCAAATTTCTGTTAGCGATTTTAACTATGATAAACAATTGAATATTATTTTTGTTAATGATCGTTCAACGAGTATCTAAAAGATATGTTCCATGTTAGATTGTGATTGAAGATTACAATCTTAATAATAGGTGAAAGATTGTGATGAGAGCAATATTTATGAAAGAGTCTATCAGATTATGAAGAAAGAGACCAGTACATAAAGGATTTTTATAAAAAATACTTTTCTTAATTTTTTTATGCATTCGAGCTATCAATGTGCGAAACTATCAATTTGAAAATTTTATCTTTTAAAACTATTCCTTCAAAAAAAGGGTGTGGTTATAGGTGCCGATGTACGATTGTATCAGAATCACACAAAACCATAAAACAATACTGATCTACACATAATCCCAACTACAACTTATATTCACATTCACCGATAGTCATACGGACATGTACAATCATATTTGCCTACACTCAAACTAGTAAAATAAGAATTGAAAAGATACAAAGGTAAAAAGAAATTTTGTCTGTCAATACGCTTTTCACTGTTTAGAGTCACGAAAACATCTTACTACCACAATATATAATTTAGAAAGAAAAAAAAAAAGGATATTTCATTTCTTTTTACAATAACCAAAACAACATTGTAGAATAAAATAATTTGATTCAATAAACACAAATTAGTTCCCTATGAAGAAGTTTTATAAGAGAAATGATTCTTGGTTTTTATGTCTTACAATACAATGATACAAATGATTATTCGAGAACATTTAATATTATATCATATCTAATATAAGATACATATTGTTTTCGTGTATTTAAATCTACTCTTTTCTTCTTACTAATGAATATTGTCTGTGATTTCTTAGCGATAAGAATAATCAGCCGCCGCGGTGGCTCAGTCGGTAGAGCGTCAGTCTCATAATCTGAAGGTCGTGAGTTCGATCCTCACCCGGGGCATTATTTTTTTCTTCGAAAAATTTATGTAATGAATCGTCTCTTTGAATCACAAAAGATCATATTTAAAAATAATGAACGATATGAATTGAGATATATTTTCGATTCATTGTCTCTAGGATTACTTTTTTGCATAATCTTACACGTGGTTTTTTGCAGTATGCTTTAGATTTTGTTTTATTTTTTATCACAGAAAGTAGACGAGACACTTTTCAAAAACAAAAAAAAAAAAGCAATGCACTTTCACTTTCATACGTCTGAAAAAAGAAAGGTAAATATAAAGAGCAGTCATTTTTATTTTTTTCTTCATTAAACAGGTAACAAAAAAACTAAGCAGTCATAAAAGATATTTACAGTTACTAAACATTATAAATTTACTAACTGTTTTGAAGTATTATTTTCATTTTTTGTAAACTACATCAAACATATTTTAGTTATAATTTCATACAAAAGATAAGTCATTGATGTAGCAATTACATATCTCATTGTTATTTGCATTACTTTCACAATCTTTTACAGAATAGTGCAGATGATGTTGTCAAAAACAAAAAAATGTAAAGAATAATAGAATATTTTTATTTTTAGATAGTATAAAGAAATTTTATTTGTCTAATTATTATTCAAATAATTGAAATTACATTAATTATAAATCAACTAGACAAATCTTTCATATAACTAGAAAATATAGCCTCTTATAATTAATACGTATTGATTATTGCTGAAAAATGGCTAAATTTAATGACATACCTGATAACACATCGAGATTCTCTGATTTTATATCCGAACCAAACAAAATACTTCCACCTATACAAGGATATGATGAGCAACCTTTGGTTTCACTTGATGAAGCTGTAAAACCACTTGAATCTATTGTACCACAAATTAATCACATGATTTGGACGGTTAAACAAAATTTAATTGAACCAAAAGATGATTTGTCAAGAGACGAATCAAGTTCTATTATGCTTTACACTTTAGAATGGCCACCTCCAGATAAATCATTTTATAGAATTCTTAATGAAAAACTTCGTTCTCTAGATAGACGTCAATTAATACCATGGTTTTTGTATCTTCGACTTTTTATGCATGCTCTATCAAAACTTCCACCAATTGAACATCGTATTATTTATCGAGGAATTAAAATGGATTTAGCTTCAGAATATCGTGGAAAACAAGACTTTGTGTGGTGGGCTTTTTCATCTTGTACATCAACTCTTGGAATTCTTGAAAATCATATTGGTAAAACTGGAAATAGAACTATATTTAATATATCATTTAATATAGCATCTAATTCAGCTAAAGACATTAGTCGACATTCATTTTATCCAGACGAAAAAGAAGTTGTATTATATCCTGCTCGACAATTCAAAGTTGGTTCATTACTTGATACTGGCAATGGACTTCATATTATTACTGTTGAAGAAATTGAACCACCATTTCCTCTTATTCGAATTCCATCAATAGAAAAATTAAAAGTCAAAGATGAAAAACTTTTATCAAAAACGGATCAATTTATCAACATTCTTCTTCTAGGTGAAAAAGGTGTTGGCAAATCAACATTTATTAATGCTTTTGTTAATTATCTTAAATTTAAAACAGTTGAACAAGCTCAATCAAATCATTCATTAGTGTTGAAACCTCTTTCGTTTGTTATGATGACGAACGATACATTTCAACAAAAGACAATTACCTATGGAGATTTCGATTATGATAATGAATTAGTAACACGACGTTGTCAAACTTATACATTTGATCTTAATCAAAGTAGTAAGAAAAAATTATGTCTTATTGATACACCTAGTTTCGAAGATACTGATCAAGAAAATTCCAATACAATAAAACATATTTTAGAATATGTTAATAATATAACACATCTGAATGCTATATGTTTTCTTCTTCAACCAGATGCAACACGATTAATGAATAGTTTTCAATTATGTTTTAATCAACTATTAAATCGTTTAGGTTCAAATGCTCAAAAAAATATTATTTTTTGTTTCACTAATGCATTTATGACTTTATCCATGCCAGGAAGTACAGCATCACTGCTTAGAAAAATGTTTGCTTCATTTTCGATGAATGATATTTGTTTTAATCGAACAAATACATTCTTTTTTGAAAATGAATCGTTTCGATATTTAATGGCTGTACAAAATGGTATTAGATTTAATAATGAAGATACATCAGAATATACGATGAGTTGGTCAGATTCTGTACAAGAGTCAAATCGTCTTTTAAAATATATTCTTACAAATCTTACTCCATATCATATTGTTAAGAAAAAATAAAATAATGGATGCAAATAAAGAATTGTTATTCACCATTTTAGCATGATTTCATTATTTTTTTTTATTCATTTTTCATCTTCGTCTATATATGTATTTCTCCGTCCTATTGACATAATATTCTTCTTTTCATTAGTATTTAACATTTTGCTAAAATAAATAGATGAAATATTGTATACATAGTGAATATTACTCATCATTCAATATTTGGTAATTGCTTCAGAATGAATAAATTTCATAATAGATAAATGTCAAAATAATGAATTAAACATATTAAACTCGAAATAATTCATATATATTGATTGAAGAGAAAGTGTATTGAAAAACTATTTTAAAATTTTGAAACTTGAAAAAAAGACAATTTTGATAGTGAATGAGGGTGTGGGTGTGGGTGTAAAAATGATAAGAATTCAAGAAAGTGAATGTTTTCATCTTTGTATAAAGAGAATCTAATCTAAAAGGAGCAACAGCAAGCTCGTTCTATACTGTTTGAATTTACTTGCACTTTCAGAATTTTTTATATAGGCATACTGATTTGTTTTTGCAACTTCATTCTTAATGAACATTTGTTTGCCAAAAATCAATGTTCGATAATGACATTGTCAATTATTTAAAACTTTCTTTGATATTTTGATAATTGTACCATGATCAAATCTTTCTCTATGATTTGCATTCACTATAGCATATAAAGTATCTTCGATGAAAACTTTTAACAATCAAAAGAAATAGAAATTTCAGCTGATTTGAAAAATAAAATTTTGAATTAATTAACGAATTGTTTTTCTATTGTGTAAATCTTAGTAATATGATTATTATAAATCTACGTCTAATATGCGATATATTAACTATAGCATGTTTTGATTATTGGTAATGAAACCTATTTATCATTTGAATCTTGAAACACATGTAAACACGTATCTGTGATACTTTCTATAGTAATCGCGTTCAAACGCGTATGTAAAAGAGTCTTTAGTAGAAGTATTTCATGTACATGTAGAAATTATTTGAATAATTTAATAACTCTTTCACAATGTGAATGACACATTGCAATTTCAGTAATTCAAACCAAACAGCATGACGACACTCGTTTATTTTGCCAATACTTATACAATATTTTTTATTATTCTTCTTTCCGAGTATTTGTCAAACATTATTCTCTTTATATTTAACCGTCACATGCATACTCGTACATTCATAAAAGATCAACAACAGCAAGTACATGACATATTTTCTCATTTTTTTTTCACAAAAACTCACGCACCTGTCGTAGAATGAAGTACACTTCAATAATTATTTTTGTCTTAACTATTAATAATGTTATTAGTGCAATTCGTATAGGAATCATTCATAATACTTCATTGATGATGATGTCTTCAATCAATAAAACAATGAATGGATCAACATGTAATGAATGTTTGTGTACAATGTTGAGAACTACGGGAAATTCTTCAATCCTCTCATTCAATTGCTATACTAAGAATATTAATTTTGTTATTTGTCAGTTATTTACAATGATAAACTATATTAGCTTCTCTATCTATCAGCTAGACATTAATTTTAATAGTACATTCTACTTTCTACAACTACCAATAAACAATCAATCGAAAATAACAACTGTAAACACTGAAATGACTTCTGAAGGTAAAGCGCTATAATATTTCATCATTACTCATAGCAACTTAAATTTTGATATAATCTAATTTTATTGGCAAACACTTAAATAATAATCATTACTCAAATTTTTTGTCAGAATATCACTATTGATGCAGTTGTTATGAAGTGAACAACATGATTTGAACTGGTTGTTGTTTAAAAAGTAGAAACATTGTAGATATTTTCATTTAATATTAAGTTTCTTGTTAGAAAGAAGAGTCTCAGCTACTATGAATTTCATACTGTTTTTCTATTGTCAATATCACGTTAATTAAATGATGAACACTTTATTTATTATTTCATCAAATGTACAAAATAGTCACCTAATTATACTAATATCGAGCAAATAAATAGTTACATTGGATTTTCGAGAATTAGTTGAAAATTGATACTTAAAATTGCTATGCAATGTAAGACGAAGAATACGACTAATGAAAACTAGAATATTTTCAAACTATTATCAACTTTCTTTTTAAGTTACATCGAATTACATTTAAGTCAGATTTCATTCTGTGTTCTTCTTCTTTCTAATAATGGCTAATGGTTTTTCAAGGTTTTTGCTCATCTATCTATTGACATCTATTCTTATTAGCGAAAAATCGGTCTGATACATTTTTACACTAATACATTACAATATACAAATGTGCTAGACGATTCTCTTATGAAACTCGTTCTCAACGAATGTTAGCTGCCTTCTAGTTGTTTGTATGAATTGAAATATTACATAACGAGAGCCAGTGATGGATCCACAATAGCATGATCTTATGTTAGTTTTAAAATGCTTTAATTCAAGCTGGGTAATCATGTAAATAATACAGATAATGATATTGTATCAAAAAGTGACAACATTACTAGGATTATTTTCTTATGAGTAGATGCAAAAACAATATACGCCATTGTTCTCGTTCTAGTTTTTTTTCTTTGAGATAGTTTCATGTAGTTTACTTTGTTGTCTATTACAATTAGGTAGTACTGACTCAGTAAGTTCCACATTAACAACAACTTCAACAACAACAACGATTGTACGTTCAATCGTAACAATCACTCGACCAGGAGACACTATTATTGGAGTATATAACACAACGGCTGTGCCTCTACTGGAGGTAAAGATGGTAGGTATTCGGTAATCACTGAACACCCTGCTCAAGCCATTGATAACTCTACTTCCACAAAATACTTCAATTTTGGAGGCACTGGTGACTATAACGTAGTGGCCCCTGCACCTGGAGTTGGCACTGGTTTCTATGTTACACCTGCCATTAGCAATGCTTCAATTACCATAAGTCTTCTCTTTGCAACTGCAAATGATTCTCCTAATCGTGATCCAATCACAGTGACTCTCGAAGGATCCAACGCTAATGCACTTGATAATGGATCGAGCTGGACACTTATCTATAGTGGTTCGACTGGCATCAGTCACACAGCGGATCCAGGTCGAATGGTATATGTTACTAGACAAAATTTTTCGAACACAATTGCCTATAGAAGTTATCGACTTCTTGTTACTTCTCAACGTGCTCCAGAATGGGGTGTTCAATATTCGGAAGCTCAAATTATTGGCTATATTTAATTGAACTAAATAATAGATATTGCTTTTTTTCTTGATTTTGTTTTTCTATGTAGTTCTATATATCATTGGAATTTTGCATGTTGTCTCCAATAATTACTATTTCTACTAATAAAATGACATTCTTTCCAACTGTAATTTTTTTTTTAGGTAGAAGAGAGTTGTACGTGATGTCTGACTATTGGTGTTTGTTCAACCTAAAAATACAAATTAATTACTAGTAGGTCTATACTACCTTACATCTTCCTCGCTATTTTATCTTTCCGATAAATATATATTGAACTTCAATCATATATGCTGGATTGATTCCTTGACAACACATTATCGAATAGTTATGTTGGTTACAAAATCTCACATACAAGAACATTAAAAGAGCATTTATCGAGAAAATAAACCCATTCGAGTTAAAGCGTCTATTTTTTTTTTTTTATAATTAACTAGAGAATCAGATGTTAACAATATACTGTTTTATTAAGCTTTAAGAAGATCTTTATATATTCTTCGTTATATTGTACGGACTACGATACTACTAATCTTTATTATAGTCAGAATATTTTATTGAAATTTTAATGTAATTTTGTTCTCCTTCTCATCTTTTGACAACGGAAAATCATCTGACTTTCACAGTGTAAAGGATGTTGAAGTATCATGAGGTTTCATGAATTATTTAGAAGTATCACTTATTATTTTTGATCCTCTCCAATTTATTTCCATGTATATTGCATGGTACTTCAATATTCTTGTAGGTGTTTGAAGATAATTTGAGAAAAATATAAGAATTATTTAAAAAAAAACACGAGTACGTGTAAAAAAGAATGTTCATAGATATCTTCTGCTTCAAATTTCCAATTGAAATCTTGCGCATCACTTCATTATTTAATTATTTGTGAATGCCTGTTTCACTATTTGTAAATCTTTTAATGAAATTGAGTATAGAAATATCATTCGAACACTCGAAAACGCGATTTCATCAAGCATTGAGTTCGACGATTTGCATGATGACTTTGTTTTCTTTATTCTTTTATATGATTCAATACATCTTCCTTTATAATTGATTTATTTGAGTATTTCTTCATTAAGATTACATATGATGATCGGCTTAACTAGGTACTTACTCATTGTTTTAGTATTGATGATGATTAAATCTTTAACAACTTTCTTGGCATAACAGATAATGAAATCTGATTGAATGGTTGTAAGATAATATTCGTTTTGATTTGAATAAAATTGTGAATGAAAACTGCACGATAATTTCTATATCTTGAATACGATTCTACTAACAGTTGAATACGTACTATTTCCTCTTTCTTCGAAACTTAGTATTGATCCATTGGGAGCTCGAGCAAATCTTGAGTTATTGGAATATAAGAGTTAAAATCAGTATGAAACAAGTGTAGTTCATTGGAATTCTAGTTACAGTGTGACCAGATCTACGTGTTAATTTCTGGGATAAAACAATCATCGATCGACTGAGTTCTAATTATCTAAGTTGCTTGGAAATAGAAAAAAATTAAGAATTTTTGAAAATTCTGATATTATCAATACTTTGAAGTTAATTATAACTTCTTTTGAGTGAAAATGAAGTATGGAATCAAGATATTTGACTCGTGACAAAAACTAACGAAGATCATTGTATCACACTGAAATAACTTAGTCTTGCTCCTTTCAACTTTGATTTTGAAATAATGATCATCAGAAAATAATTGACAAACTCTTTGCAAATATATAATAAAGGTTTTCTCACTAGAGAATACATTCATTTTTATCTAAGAATTTGTTGTGTATATACAAAGAAACATGCTTGATTGATTTTCGGAAGAACTTCGCTACGATATTGCGATGTTCCACAGACAATATTTTTTTAGAAAAATTGATGAATTCTAGGAGGAATATCTGTTTCATGTCAATAATGCTACTTTGAAATGTTTCCAACATATCTTCATCTTTGTTGACATTGAAAAGCGAAATCCAGCAACAATATGGATCATAAAATGTAAAAATAATCGAATATGAGAAAAAAATTCTTATAAGAAAATATTTACACATATATGTGTACATTGTTTGAGGAAAAATGACAATTCAACGAAAACATAATTGCCAACTGTAAAATAATGATCGACAGAGTATCGATCAGATAAAATGGCTTCAAAATTGGACGATGAAAGCTTGTCATGAATTATTCTAAAGTTTTTCGCCGCATTCAATATTTGCAACATTATGCCTAAGTGTAGGTTGTTTAGAGTTCTATATAGGAACTCATCTAAGTTATGAATTAGCCAGCGTAATTTTTTTCTTCCATGTGTATAAATATATGAATTTTAAAAATGATGTCTAACATCTCTAACTGCTATATGAATTGCTTTCAAAAATTCAAAAAATTATATTGACTCTCGATTTTAGTTCAGTCATTCTAGAGTACAGTAAGAGTAGTCCAATGAAAGACAAATGTGGAACTATTGCAAAAAGTTTTTCTAATTACATAAAATAATGAAAACTAATCTAAGTCATATTGAAAGATAATTATCTGGCTTGTTAAGTTTCGATATGATTCTATTTATGCAGTTCGTCATTCATGTAGATATTTAAGCTTTCTTCTTGACTTGTGTATTTATCTTGATTACGAAATAATAAATGGTAATGACGGTCATTTTTCAATCATTGTAGAAAAACGTTTCCTTCAAGCAAATAGTTTATTAGTTTCCATTTTGCTCATAGTTTCCTATGAATATATTAAATATTTGGATGCATCGTTTTATACGACGAGAACACGCTCTAGAAAGTATAAGGTAGTCGGAATAAATAAAAACTGGAAATGGTAGTGATGAATACAGAGAATCAATCGTCCACCTTTCAATCTTGTTCAACACTAAAAGAAATCTGTTTCAGATCGTTTATATTCCGTGACTTTAAACGGAATGATCGATACTATGAAAGAGACCTTGTGACTAACTATAAAATCGTGACTCTTAAAACCGTATTATAACTTATTTCGCTACATCATGATTATTCTTCTATTGTTAACGCATATTTTGGTGACATATCGCAGAATTTCTTTGTCTTCATCACTGTTATCAGAAATCGGTTAGGACACTCATTTACATTTATCTATACAACATTTCAAAACTTAATTGATACCATTACCTTCATGTTTCTCATTAAAACAGATCGTATGATCAATGAAAGGCAAAACCATCACACATAATAATTAACTAAGTATAGAGATCAAATGGAGACGAAACTTTCCTATTCTTTAGAACCATAAACTCCATTATTAAGAATTACTTTTTTTTTTCATTAATTTCCGATTGTTCATGTATAAAATATGTGTGAAAGTATAACGAATCAAAACATTCTTGCATTCTATCAAATCATAATTGTATTGTTTTTTACTATTTTCACTAAAAAAATTATCATCCTAATAATTGAATTAAATGATTCTGTTTCTATGTTTCGTTTTTTCTTTGCCAAACACCATAATATTTCATGCAATTGTCATTATATGCCTCGACAATGATGATTAGTATCACCGATTGAAAAGTTCTTCAACGTTCACTCTCACTTATTCATTCACTATTAGAATAATAGTGGTCGAACCATAATATTCAGTGCCTTCGAGGCATTTCAATAGCTTAAGTTAGTTGATAAAGAACTACTACATGGCATCCATAGAAGAATATCTTTTGATTTTTCTCATAAATCATTTATTTTGAAAGAAGAAAAACAAATGAATGAGCAAAATGAAGGACATTTTAACTGTAGCGATTTTGAGTGCAGTATCTCCTCCAAGAGTTCAATTCAAGAAAAGTTTTAAGACATTAACCTTTGTTTAGAAATACTATTACACTACCCGTACCGTGAACAATCACAACATCAAGTCGATCATCATTGTTGAAATCATAGAGAACCAACGATGATGGAACGTAATCTGTAACAAAAGGCCACCGCCTGGAGAAATTTCCCGTTCCATCTCCGAGAAATACAATAAAAAAATTAGAAAAGGTTCCGACAACAACGACATCCAAGTAATTATCACCATTCATGTCCCCCATCGCAATGCCATACGAACAGACTCCAACCGGGTAGTGAACCGCTGCTCGAAACGTACCATTACCATTACCAAGTAGCACACTAATTGTACCATTTCCACAGTTTGATACAACAAGATCCATGTGTTGATCACTATTCAGATCACCCATAGCCAATTGCCAAGGATTGGTCATGGTGGGATAGGAAGCTAGCATTTGGAAAGAACCGTTGCCGTAGCCAAGATAAATACTCACACTATCACCGCCATAGTTTGCAAGAGCGAAGTCTAAAAGATTATCGTGATTAAAATCAGCTACAACGGCTGTGAGTGGACCTATGGTAGTAGGAAAAGATATTGGGAACGCGAAATAGCCATTACCGTAGCCGAAAAGAACACTGGCGGTATTTAAAACATTGTTGGGTACCAACAAGTCAGGAAATTGATCACCATCAAAATCTCCGACAGAAACTGAAGACAGACCAAAGCCAACTGCGAAAGAATTTTGTGAATGAAAAGTACTATCACCAAGACCAAGTAAAACACCTATACTGTCATTGCCAAGCTGAGTGACAGCTATATCTGCATAGCTGTCTCCATTGAAGTCGTCGACGATCATATTAAACGGATTAGTACCAGTTGTTAGAGTTGTTGGTAATTTGAATGTTCCATTGCCATAACCAAGAAAAATGTAGAGACGATTTCCAAGATAACAGGAAATAACAAAATCCATGCAATTGTCACCATTAAAGTCGCCGAGAGCCACTCCGAAGCTACTATTTTCTACTTGATATAAATACTGTCGATTGAAGTTTAGATCGCTGTTGATGTGATCTAGACATAAATGAAGATCAATCAACGTTGAATATTGACTGCATTACAAAGAAAAACTAGTCTATTTTAGTCTTCTTGAAATAGGAATTCATTTTCTTATGGATGCGATTAACATTAAGCCGAAAAATAATCTTCTTCTGAAAATAAAACTCTTTCTATCCTGTTCTGACAAGATTCATGCCATTAATAATGTGTTGGCTTTTCCATGAGATTTGTAGATCCTATGAATGTATACTTAACGTTGTATTAAAATGATATTGAAACACGACCTTCCGAAGAACTTCTCTAATCATATCTCTTCATGTAATATTCTGTCTGTACTTCGTAGAAGATAATCTTTTTTCTTATCAATGCCCTAATAGAAAGAATCACAACATTTCAGTGTCGAATTGAAGAAATCATAGAATTTGACGTCATATCGGCAGTTAAAAATTCTTTTCATGAGACAATTTGAACTAGATTTCATTTAATTTGATGAACATCATAAAGTTACATTTTATTTTTATTTTCATGACTAAAATCAATAATGAGAATGGCGATGATTAGTATTCTTCATGTCATGAAGACGAGACAGGTACGAACATAAAAGAGTTTCATAGAATTAAATGTTTCTGAAAACATCTGAAATGTGTTTTTTTTTTGTCAGAGTTTCTTCGCAACAACGTCTATGTTTTGTCTCTGATAACATTTTTTTTATTTCCTTGTTGATTATTTCTTATGAAGAGACTTTTCTTTAATTGTAGCATAAAATTCTAGATTTTTCTTCATTCAACACTGAAAAGTTATAATAACTCGATTTTCGACACACTTTACTTTGATATAAAAATATGCTATTAATACTATTGAAAGCTATAGAGCTATCTTCCTGGGAAGATGTTATTTCCTACATCGTACACCTTGTTTAAACGAAAAGAATGTTCTTAGAGACTGGTGTATTGTTTTACTAGTCTCTGAACTTAAATAAGTGCAATTTTCACTATAACGAAGTGAACCTATCTCTTTCTTGCATATTCAACATCAGTTCGAATAAATATAAGTACTTACCTGAAATAGTCGTAATGGTAGTGCTGCTCATCAAGGTGGTTGATGATTTATCTAAAATGTATCGAATGAGTTATATTAAGAAGGAATATTTCATCATGGTCTAATCTATTCTCTAAATTAGCTCTTCCTACTAACCTGTTGTAGTCGCCAAGATTCGTGAAGTGTTGATAGTTGTCGCTGATATGATTGATATCGCTCTTGTTGTTGTTGTTGTTTCTAACATACAAAACAAATAAAGATAGTATTATTTTCTAATTGAGTGTGCATCGTTTTGAGTTACTGACTTCTTAACTAACATACTTAAAAAACAATTATCACTATAGAACAATGAAAATAATGCTGCTCTCCTCTATCACAGATTGTCGATTGAAGTTTTCTATGCACTAAAAAACAATCCGAACACCAGGTCTAGTTTCGAATAGTATTCAATAAAAACATTCTTTGATCCTCACTAAAAAGCAGAATAGTTGTAGAAGAATCATTAATTATCGAAATTTCTACAATATTCAGCATTGTCCAAACTAGAGCATGGTTCACAGCAAGAAAGCTATGAATTTTTGCAATAGTATGACATTGTCAAGAATTCGAAAAGCTAACGATATTTCTAAAAATGTATCAGTGAAATGAAGATGAGATATGTTCAGTTGAATATATATATATGTAATTGCTTTCACCTTCTTGTCAAAGAATGTCGTATACTATCTGCTGCTCTTTTCATATTACTTTTCTTTATTATTCTTACGATGTAGTCATTAAATAAAAGCAAAAGCACATAAGTATGGGAAGTATCGTGATCATACACCATTATATCGATCTTATTTCAGTTTGATCATCAATAAGATACATGTATACATACATACTTGAGGAAACTCTTGTCGTATTCAAGATTGATTTTTGATTTCGAAACAAAAATATAACTACGATAGTCACTGTAACCAAGAGTATTGAACCAGCAATTAAACCGAGGATAAAGAATACTTTTCGTGTAGTTATTTCACTTCTAGAAGAAATAATAGATAGATACTTGAGATAATAAGTATGATAAAGACATACGTGACAGATCCTGATGCTGTTTCTATTGATAACGGATCCATGATGTTGTATCACAACGATGCAAAGTTCGTGAGTCTACAAATAACATTAGTTCAGAATCAATCTTATTACAGTTATGTTGTGAATAGTGTTCTCAAGATGAAATAGGTCAGTTGCTATCCATGTAAAAAGTATCCATCAATTTAACGAAAATAGATGTAGTTTCTAATAAAATGCTTACAAAAACTTTATGATCACAATGATTATTGCTTAATAGATAGTAAAAGCAATCAGCAAAGAGAAGATAATTTTGTTTTTATTGATATCACAAGATTTAAACAATGGCTATAACTTATTTAAATCTAGACATATCAATAAAAAAAAAATTATATTCTCTATTTGATGATTACTTTGGCTATTTCTTAAACAGAGATCGTAGGAATAGTAATGTTTTTCTTAAGGACTTTATTAGAAATGATATTCGATATTGAACTGTGTAGATAGATTTTTCTCTCCAAAAAAATCAAACTTAGGAAAATATCGATCACTGAAGTAAGTTTATCATACATGTTGTCAATAATCCTGTTTGAAAAACTCTGAGTAATACTTTACATAAACTTATATATTGATTTTATATTTATAATTATTTTTCCTTTCTATTGTTCAGTTTTATTTTATATAACGTTTTGTCAACAATGTTCATTTCTTCAGACCATTTTTAGTATAAAAACATACGAAATATAAAATAAATATACTTGTTTAGTACACATGTTAATATTCTTTCTCTATGCTCTTCATTATAATTATAATGAACAAGATTCTAATGCTAAATGAAGTTTACTTTTTACATTTCCCTCGTTCATATACCTATTAATAATTTAGAGAAAGTGTCTGTGCATTACAGATGTATATTTATTTTATATAAGAAATATTTTTCTAATAAAAACAGTCTGAATATACCTACATTGCTTATAAGATGATACGTAACATAAATTGAACAAAAACAGAAGAAAAATTATAATTAATCATTCAATTCAATGATCTTTTTTCTCTCAAGTCATGCTATTAGTTTACGCATTGAATAGGGATGAATAAGTCACGGTTTTATATTAGATGTAAATTTTATAAGAGAAAAATTGAACGCAATTAAACTAAATAATGAACTACTCCGAAAATTTTCAAGTAAATCTTTAATAAAAAAAAATATTTTGATCTTTGACAAACAAAAGATCCGTTCACTTAATTACACAATAGTGATAATTTGAAATTCGATCAAACTTAAAATGATTCGATGAAGATTATACAAAAAAAAAATGAAAGATTGCAGAGAGATTTACTTGCGCATAAAACAAACTAAAGATTTCTCTAAATCAAGCATCTGTTTAACTTGATGAAAAAAATTTTTTATATCTTGAATGATCTAGCTCACCTAATGTACTTTATATTGTGTAGATACGAGCTATTGGAAATGAATTTTGTTTAAAATGTATTAGTAAATAGACAATGTCGAAGATCAAAAATATTTCACGAATGAAAATGAGTAATAATATTGAACGATAAATAATTCGTTAAGAATGAAAACATGTATTTAAATACGTTAAAATATTTAACGAGAGAAAATAAATACTGGTTTCTACAAGAATAAATCAATCAATTTTTGTTAAAAATGGAAATCTAACCCTATAGTCAATATTTCACATCTTCATATGTAGTGAATAATTTTTAATTGCACTCAATCAAAAAAAAAAAATAAATATAAAACAAATATTGTATAAAGGCATGTTGATATTTCGCTATCTTTTGATGAATAGGAAAACTTGTTTGTAGACGATTTCTTGATTCCTCGATTCAAAAATTCCTACGGCAATATCTACACAATATATAATAAACTGAACTCAAACTTTTTTCTATTTAATCATTAGTGTATGTCTGCTTATCTAAGGAATTAAAATGGTAACTGATGTTGCTATTACAAATAAAACCATAGAAGAACACTTGCAGAGAAATTACTCATAATAATAGTCAACATCAACTCTCTTTTCTCTGTAATAATGTCTGTTTGTGTAAATGTAACTTATATTGTATTCAATGAATATAATGTAATTGATATAGCATAGTACTTGCCAAATGTTAGATGTTTAGTTACGCCAATGATAAGGTTTTGAAAAGTGTTTCTAATTAGAAAAACAAAAAGTTATAAGCTGATGTTATTATTTTTGATAATTGTTTTTAACACTGAAAAGAATAAGACAATGGAAAAAAAAATATTATTTATTAAATAAATTTTCTATTGACAACATTACTAGTGAATATCATCGTCTGAAGAAAAGTACTTTTTTGTTATTTCATCGTCATACTTTTTTTAAAATAATGAAACCATCTACAATATGAGTGAAACATTGTGGTGCTGGAATATCGTGACAGGAGACAGCAATGGTAGTAGAGGTACACTTTTCTATCCCTTTAGTATTTGAAAATTTTCATTTTTCTCTAGTGAAGTTGACATCTTCTTTCTTACATTCTCACATTGCCACAAAAATATTTCATTGGGTTATTTTACAAAATTGAAAATTTTACAGTAATCTTTAATATCATGATGTAAGAGTTAGAAATTTGCTTTTGAAGGTTCATTATGATATAGTGTATGTTAGCAAATCATGTCGTTAGATATATATCATTTCATCTATGAAAAGTTTTCTCGGGTGGTTCATTTTTTCTAAATTATCATACGAGACAATGATGTTTTTTTGTTTTACCGGTACATTTCAATCATTTAGTGTTTTTCGAGGAAAGAGTGACACTGAAAAGAAAAAAACAACCATCAATACACCCATAGACAGATGGTTAGCAAGAACTCTCATTGACAAGAAAATATCTCTGTTTGCTTACGTTTCATCTCATTCTATAATTTTATTGTAAAGAAATATTGAATCATATTGAACTTATTAGAAGACAATGAAAAAGACAATGATGTTCTATTTGGTATCAATAGATCGACATGTTGATTAGCAATCAAATCAGAAACTGTAATGAAAATTAGATCTTGGTCTGAAAAACGCCATGAACATGATTGTGAGGCTCGCGTGCATTATTTTTGGAATTGCTAAGAACAGCAAAACTGATGTTGTCATTGTAACTCAGAGATGTTCATCGCGGCTGAGAATCTGCCGTTGCCACGACGTGATATAAAAGAAAACGTTGCCATCACTGCAATGGTATTCAAAAAATGCTTTGATTTTCAAGACTATGACTAGTTTCAACTAGAACTGCTACAACTAATCGCTAAGATTCGTGAAGTCTTATAGTATAGCATACATGAACGTCGTGATTCTGTTTAAATTCATGAATTTTTGAAATTTCTTCCTAAAAAAGTCTGCCGTTACCGTACCGCAATGGACATCTCTGTTGTAACTATCATTGAAACATAAAAAGTAAATGATACTGAACTCGTATGTATCGAATATGACGTTGATGATCGAAAACTTTTGTTAAAATAGCTGAGAAATATTGGTCAAACAGATGAAAAAACTTATTGATATTGTGAAAATCATGTCATAGTGTTCATATAACAAATTGTAATTTGTAATCCAATTAAGATATTACTAAGAAAATTTCATGAAAAAATCTCTTTGACCATGTAAACAATACACAAAAAACAATCGATACTATTTTTTGTCAGACAATTGTTGAGCCTTACAGAGTCAAAGACCACCATTTGATAACAGAAAATCGTTTGTACATGAATAAATATTAGCTCGTTTTTCTAAGACTACAATCAGAATCTGAACTATGAGTGATGATCTATGATAATGCTTTATTAACATCTTCAAATATTCTATTAAATGAAACGCCAAATACATCAAAAGCGATTGATATGATGCTGATACATAATCAAATTGAATGCATATATGAATATATCAAAACTCTTTTCGTTTAAGACAGTCATCATTTCGCTGAACTGTTTAACGAGGGAATGTTTTCAACTGTCAAATCCCTTTTGAGTTCGGACTTTGTGCATAAGATAGACCCCAATGAGGTATGAAAAATCCGAAAAGATTAAATCATCTTAGGCCTTCTGTCCAGAGTTATAGGCATTTTACTTGAATTTTAGCCTATGGCATGATATATACCGACAAATCGAATGGCGGTATTTCGATCTGAGATTTTGCCCACAGACAGATCTATTTGTGATTGGAAAGCCCTGAAAATTTCAACTCAAAAGAACGTTTCCTTCCCGAGATATTAAAGTCCCAAAAAACAGAAAATCCTAGCATCTTTTGTCGTATATGAGTCATTTTTGGGACTTTAATATCTCGGGAAGGAAACGTTCTTTTGAGCTGAAATTTTCAGGGCTTTCTGCTCATAAATAGATCTATCTATGGGCAAAATTTCAGATCGAAATACCGCCATTCGATTTGTTCGTATATACCATGCCCTAGGCTAAAATCCAGTAAAATGCCTATAACTCTGGACAGAAGGCAGAGATTTGACAGTTAAAAACGTTTTCTCGTAAGTTCAAATATTCGAGAAAAGACAAACAAGTTGATTTCTAATATCATCGAAACATGTAGCGAAATAGTTTGCAGAATCACATATTTGTGTTGAATAATGAGTTTCAACTTGTAGCTTTGTGATATCATTTTTTTTTCTTTATATCAATCAGAAGAAGTATAACAAAAAAAATATGAATATTACAAGAAAATATTATTATTTAATATACACATAATGATTAAAAAACGTTTTTATCCAAATTTTTAATTGATATAAAATATTCAATTGAACATAAGCATAATGATTTCTGATTGATTCAATAAAATATAACGATGACAAAGAAAATAATTTGTTTGAAATATTTAGCAGGAATAAACGTATAAGATCTATATATCTAACTATAAGTGCATTTGAATATTTGAAAAATCCATTATAAAAAAAAGAACAAAACATAATCATTAAAACAGAGTCATTCGACTAGGTCTTCTTAAATTTTCATTATCATGTATTGTTGATCGACGTCTTTCATCATAATGAAAACTTCTTGGAGTACTACGATGATGACTTGATGGTATATGAAAACTTGAATCGTTTGTATTTATTTTTGTCGGTTCATTTGATATATTATTTTGTGATATTGTTCCAAGTTCGCCTACCGATATTGTAGCAAGATCTTCTTTACTTTTTTCAAATTTTTTTTCTCCTTGTTCAGCTAAATTAATATCAGTTGTTGTATTCGATTCTTCTAAAAGTTTTAATGCAGCATTACGTTGATAAAGAAGATATAAAATAGGTGATGTAAGAAATGTTAAAATAGTTGCCATTAAAACAAACATTGCAAATATAACAGGTGATATAACTTTAAGTTGTACACCAATATTTAAGACAACTAATTGAACTATACCACGAGTATTCATTAAAACTCCCATTGATGCACAATAATTCCATGATTTTCGTGTACATAATTTTGTTGCTAATGTTACTGGAACTATTTTTGCTATAGAAGCTAAAAGTATAAGAATAACTAATGTCCACCATGCTCGACCTGTATTTAAAAGATTTAAACGTGTTTTTAAACCACTATTAGCAAAATAAAGACTAAAATTAACAGAATATAATATATCATTAATTAACATATTGTATTTACTTACGGTAAGAAAAATTCAACAATAATTAATTCAATACGTATAGATAAAAACTCAACTAATTCACCTTTTCGTGGAATACATAGACCAGCAATGAATGCACCAAAAAATGCATGAATACCTATTAAAATAAAATTAATAGAAAAAAAAAAAAGATTTTTTTTTTTGTTATCAAACATTTAAAAATCTATGTACCCATGACTTCTGTTGTAAATGATGCAATAAGAAGAAGTAAAAAACAGCCAACAACAATATAAACATTACAATCATTTTCACGACGTAGATAATAACCATGAATTAAATTAAAAATTGGTCGAATAATAATAACCATGATTAAAATAAAAGCCATTGTAAGTAATAAAGTATAAAGACCTTGAAGTGCTGAACCACCTGATGAAAAAGCACTAGCTACAGCTAAAACTACCCATACAACAATATCTTCTACTGCAGCTAAAGATATTGTTTGAATACCAATTGGTTCATTAAGTAAATTCATTGAATTTAGCAATGTAGCTAAGACAGGAAATGCCGAAAATCCAAAACCAGAAGCTATACGAAAAATAATTTAAATTAAAAAAAAAACACAAAACAAATCATTTCACATATTTTTCTTACCAATAAATAGAATAAATGCTGTTTTACTTGTTTCTATTCCATCATTCAATTGATAGAACCATAAAGCAACTGCACATCCAATACCAACTAAAATTAATAATATTTATTTTAATTTAATAATATTATTATTCTAGTATACAAACCAGGAAAGATTATACTAGCACAAGCAACTGGAATAGTTATTTTCCAATTTGCTTTTATTTGTTCTAAATCAAGTTCTAATCCAAGAAAAAACATGAAAAAAATTAAACCCAAATTGGCTATCAATTGAAAAACTTTTAGACTTGATGCTGGCCAAATAGCTTCAGTCCAACCATGAGCATAACCTAAAATAAAATTATCATTATTATCATCGAAAATAATAATTGATATATTTGTATTATTTACCAAGAATAGATGGACCAAAAATAATTCCAGCAATAATTTGTCCAATAACTTGTGGTTGACGAATGAATGATAATAATTTAGCAAGAAATTTACACACAATTAATGTAATAAATACTTGCATGAGAAACATTGCCAATGGCGATTCATGAGGATTTTCAAATAGAGTTACCATTGAATATTATTTTATTTATATCTAAAATTTAAAAAAGATAAAACAATTGTTGCTATTTTATCATTTAAAATAACATATTAAGGATAGATTTTTTTTAATATCATTCATTATATTTCATTATTAAGAACTTTTTAGAATGTCTGTCTAGATTTTAGATTTGTCTTATTTATTAGTAATATTAAACTAAACAACAATTTTTTTTTAATATGTTTAATATGACAAAATATATCTTTTCAAATATAAAGATTTATCTACTTACCTGTTTTAAATACATTAAATGATCCAATATGAAAGAATAGAAGATTAGAAAAGATTTTATGAAACCATAAAATCGATTTATTAGAGTGAAGCAAACAATAACATTTTCTAAAGCATTGATATATAGATCAAAAATAGTCAAATGCACTTTTTATATGATATACTTTTTTGTAATGCACTTGATAATCGGTGTTTTTTACTACACAAAGAATAGTTTTCGTCATAAAAAAGGCACTACTTGCTCTTTTTTTTTTCATTAAGATATTATAAATACTTGTGTATCTATGAAGTGAATAGTTGTGTTTATACTCGTTGATTTTGTTTACATGATTACGAAACGAAAGCAATATATGCATTTCAATCAGTATATAATAAAGGCTAAGACAATAAAAAGTATTATGTTAGGCACAATTATATATTTATGAATGGCATTCAATTTTATTGGAATTTATGATGTTCCATTTACTTATTACTATATTGACTTGAGACAAATTTGTACATATTATCAAAAAATTTTGTCCATTACATCTTAAACCGATACTGATCTGAGGTGTATCTTTAGTGGTGATGACCATAAAATATTGATTCTACAAGTGATGTCTTTATCTCTTATTATGAACAAAATAATACTTACCATAATACTATATTATACTCTAGTGATTTCAATGCAATCTTTTAATTTTCTAGAATTGAAATAAATGAAGAATATTCTATGAAATGTGACTGTTTACAATTAGACATACGCAGCAACTTATTGGCATGATATAGTCTTTTTTTACGCAGTATTAGCTAATTTTATCATAGGATACATTAGAAACATCGAAGGATATTTATATTCGACGAAAAAATAAAGAAGAACTTAATGTATTATTCAAACGAGTGTAACATTGTAAAAAGGCTAAACTATTACCGGAATTTGCACTTCAACTAATAAGTTTACATTCTTATAATTATCTCAATGTCTAACTGAACAATGTCATTTTATATTTCTTCTTGGTATATTTTAGTAAAATCTTTTCACTTTAGGTTTATACTTGAAGAAAAATTTTTTGCTGTCATGTAGTTCAATCATGATGAACATTGTTTTTATTCGAACAAAAACAGCCTAAAATCTTTAACACATACTTACTCTTCATACAGATATTAGAATAAAATACGTTGTATATTTGAGAGGATTGATATATGAGAAGAGAAGACTTTTCACACTATTTATTGACCATCCTTCATTCCCTTTTCTCCTTATTTTGATTCAAACTTGTCTTGTATTCAATGACAAATTAGTGCTCTAGAACACATATTGACATCATCCTCTTACTGTATATATTCGTATGCAGATATCAAATCTAAAATATAAATTTTGATCAGTCCTTAGTTGTCAATATGATTGCGACTATAAACTCAAATGAACGGTGCTGTCCACAAAAAATTATAAACATCTTTGTGAACATCTGACAAAATTGATAAATGAAGATTGTTTTTATCGATCCATCAAAACGAGTGTATTTTTTTAAACTTGTATTCAAATCAATCGAAATGATGATAAGATTCAATTGTTGCGAATATATTCGTAGTAAAAACTGTTGTTGTTTAGATCAGAGTTGGAATCGGACGACCGTTTTTTTTCCCGCTTCGTCCGAACCGATTCGATGAATTTTACAATCAAACTGACAAATATACAGTGAAAAAAACTGATCATAAAAGTATATGTTTATATACAATGGTCATGAAGAAGAATCGAATATTCATATGTAGAAATTCGAACTAGGAGTAATCAATTTACGTTGATGAAAATTTAATAAATCATAAAATAAACTGAAGTTTTTTATAATTATTTAAATTTATTTACATCCAGTTTTAATTAATATATCATCTTAATTTCGAAAAAGACGAAAAAAAGTATCATAAAAACATCGTTTTCAATAAAAAAACCTCTCGGGTGTAAAACACAATTTTGTAACGAGGAACTGGCAAAAATCTAGTCCTATCCAGTTTGGTTGAACCGGTTACAACTCTGGTTAGAATCTTGATTCATTACTTTACTCTTTCCACTTAATATTCGATATTCATCACACATTTCGTCAATTAACATTATCATTATATGATTACATATGAAATGTGCTATGCAAATGTAATATTAATAGATGTTCGTAGGAAACACAAAACATGAATTTTGATGATGTCAATGGATGCACATGACTGAATGATTTTTGTGAGATTTATCAATAGTATCGTTAAGAAAATTATTTATCCTTGATTTCAAAGCCAACAGCAAGTTGTCCGTATTCAAAAATCATTAAATTAGAGAGCTATTTTTTTTCGGATGAGGTCATTAGGTAGATAATGACAAAGATAAAGTCAATCATGAAAGATACACATCGAAGAAAAACAACTCATTAAGTATAATATACAAGTGTCACACTTAATGAAATAACCTCTTGAAGCATATGGCAAGAAAAATCAATTATAGTATATACAGTATGCAAAAACTTATTTGAATACCTGTAATTTTCTTTTCATAAGACATTTATTCAGCATCAAAAAAACAATTGAGTTATATATCATTCGATAGAGAAAATCAAACTGAATCGAATCATGGCTTTGATTTCAAAAAATAATTAAAAGAAAAAAGATCTTAATTGCTAATTAAACTTAATATTTCATATAGATGTACCAATAATAATCTTGATTTTTAGAGGGAATAGTCCACTGAAAATTTTTTTCAAATGATGCATGTTTGTAAAAAATGATATGTTGTAGTGCCTGATAAACCGTTTTGTTTCAATAGGAGGATACGATCATAGCTTTTCAGGTCTATCGTTCACTATAGGAAAGAAAATTTTCGTTCTATCATCCAACACGGACGACTTATACATTCTTTTCTTTCCTTTCTGTATTATAAAATGAACTCTAATAATTGTGGTCTTAGTTAATGCGTATCGGGCATTGCAACATATCATTGTGTAGAGAATTAAATTCTTTACAAGCTTATATCATTTTACAAAATTTTGATCTAATTTTTGTCCTCCAACAATCCAAATTATTGAAGCATTTATAGCAGGTTGAAGTTTTTTTTTCTTCAAGAAATAAATTGGTATGTTTTTGATTAATTGTGAAAAAGATTTCAATTGAATCAAAGGTATTTTATCAAGAAAAATCTAATGTGAAACATTATTTTCAGTCTATATTACAACTTTTTGTTTTCCAAATGATTTCATTCAAAATTAACTATTTTCTCCATGTTGTTGAATAATCATAAACGAGTTGTTTTTTTTCTATTGTACAACTTTCAAGTCGAATTTATAAAAAAAAAGAAAACATATAAATTGCGTGCATATCTTTATTTGCCTTCTATTTTATTAATCCGTATTCTTAACAGAAATAGATCAACCTTTGTAATAGATCACCAAAATATAGGGGTGAGAAAGTTATTGTTATTTTTTTGTTATTAATAACAATAACATTAACGGTTTTTTTCGAAAAAATCAATGAAATAAGTCTAAGTATAGTTTGTACGAACGTCAAAGGATCACTTTATTCATATAGTATCTTTTCCTACCATTAGATATGAGAACTTGCCGTAAATATTATGAGACATGCTAACATAACGTAATTTGTTATAGTTATTGCTATGTAACAATAACAATAACAAATTATGTTGTGTTACTGTTTCTCAAAATCTTTACGACAAGTTCTTATATCAAATGGTAGGAAAAGATACTGTATGAATAAAGTGATCCTTTGACGTTCGTACGAACTATGCTTAGATTTGTTTCATTGATTTTTTTTTTGAATCAAAAGGCTAATGTTATTGTTATTAATAATAAAAAAATAACAATAACTTTCTCACCCCTACCAAAATATAATACTTCGTCAAATAGACTCAATTTTATGTCATCCATTGTTTCTCTGAAATATTCAAGCGCCATTATTTTCCAATTTATTCAAATAATTGTATAAACAATATTTGAATTGTTATATGTCCATCGCTTTTGTCTCGCATGGCTACGCAAGAAAAAATACACATATGCCTAAATCTGAATAGCAATAAAAAAAATGTGCAAGGACACAAATAATGACAGCATATGATACTTTCTATTTATGTGATGTAATTTATATTATTACCTGCATACTGTTTCACCTAAAGTAAAAAATATATAATGATTCATGCGTGCACATTTTTTTATCGAGATTTTTACAACTAATTCAACGAATGACTTGTCCTCATATATGAGACGTTTGCGAAACTTTACTTCTCATCAGTTGCTATCGAATAAGGTAAAGGTTTGTTTTTTTTCTCTCTTTGCATTGATTGTGTTCGTACGTTGGGATCTCTATAGACAACGTAAAATTATGGTTGGACATACACAAAATACATTGACACTTAATGAATTATCTATAACAGCATCTCCATCATCATCATTAAGTCGAATCAGAATTGTTACTCATCATGAATATTTTGAACCATATCCAACTGTTAAAAGTTGGCTGAAAGGTCAAATAAATAATCCTAAACAACGAATCAAGAATTATTTTCTCTCCTATTTACCATTTATAAATTGGATTTATCGATATAATTTAACCTGGTTTTGGGGAGATCTTATTGCTGGTTTAACTGTTGGTGCTATTGTGATACCACAAAGTATGGCCTATGCTGGATTGGCTAAATTACAACCACAATTTGGCTTGTACAGTTCATTTGTTGGAGTGATGATTTATTGGCTTTTTGCTACTAGCAAGGTGAA